CCTCGGAAAAAGCTTACGTTCGGTTCCTCCGGCGGACCAGCTCCAAATGGGTTGAAGGCAAACGGGTCCGAAAACCACAGGCATAGCATCAATGGCTTTGGGAGAGTCAACGGAGAGCTTAAAATCAATGGCGCAGGCCCCTCCACTATTGCAGAACAGCGCCGTACTTTGCCCATTTGGTCAGGTGCGACCGTTAGGAGTCCGCCTCCGAGGGTCGTTTTCTAACGAACTTGGCTTCTAGCCCGAAAATCACTCATACAAGAAATCCGAGACAATGACTGTGCTGTTATATTGGGCGAAACGGGGAGCGGAAAGACGACACGTAGGTCACCAAACGTCGCTTCCAATTTTCTCTCAGCTCATCTATCCTCCTTGCAGAGATACCCCAGTTCATATACGAAGCCGGTATCTGCCAGCAGCCCCTCATGATTGCTGTGACTCAACCACGTAGGGTAGCCGCTACATCGCTGGCTGCTCGAGTCTCTGTGGAGCAAGGAACTCCTCTCGGCGGTCGGGTTGGCTACTCTGTCCGGTTCGATGACAAGACCTCCGACGAAACGCGAATCAAGTTCATGACGGACGGTATGCTGCACCGAGAGCTTCTGGGAGACCCGACGCTCAGTCGGTATGGGGTGATAATTGTGGATGAAGCTCACGAACGGACACTAAGGACCGACTTGCTATTGACGTCACTCAAGACTATTCTGTCCACCCGCAATTCTTTAAGAGCAGGTCAAAATGGCGTGAGATCCACAAACGGAGCTCACCCGGGTGAAAAGGTGGACAAGGGCAAAAGGAAAGAGTTGCCGCCTCTGAAAGTCATCATAATGAGCGCCACGCTTGACGCTCAGCGTTTCAGCGACTTTTTCAATGGGTGAGTTCTTCTCTCCCTTCTATGGCATGGGGATAATAACTGTCGCTTCAGAGCCAAGATTTTATATGTGAAAGGACGCCAGCATCCAGTTAAAGTCCTGCACACGGCTGAGGCACAAAAGGATTACATTGAATCTGCTCTCCAAACATTCTTTCAAATTCACACCGAACAACCCCTTGGAGACGTCCTCATCTTTTTACCAGGACAAGAAGAGATAGAATCTCTCTCAGCTTCCATCGAATCTCTCGCTGAACAAATTCCCTCGGAGGCTATGCAAGTGCTCGTCTGTCCTATGTACGCAGCGCTACCCGCCTCGGTCCAAGCCAAGGTTTTCGGGAAAACCCCCACCAACACAAGAAAGGTTGTCTTGGCTACAAATATTGCAGAGACCAGTATCACAATACCAGGTGTGAAATACGTCATCGATACTGGGTTATGCAAGGAGAAACGATACTTTCCTCGGGGAAGGGGCAACGGTGTCGATGCACTCTTGGTACAGGCCATCAGCAAGAGCTCGGCGCTCCAAAGGACTGGTCGGGCTGGACGCGAGGTACGAACTCTCCGCGGCTCTGGTGATATTTGCTCATGTCGCTTGACTGTTAAGGGAGAAGGCTGGTGCTTTCGTTTGTATACGGAACAAGCCTACACCACGCAGTTTGCAGAAGCCGCGATTCCGGAGATTCAGCGGTGCAATTTGACCCACGCAATCCTTCACATGAAGTGCCTTGGGCAGAATCCAGAAGTCGCCGACTTCATGGATGCTCCATCGCAAGAGACAAGTAAGTTGTACAAAGTTATCTCCTGCTAAACGAATGCTTAACGTCTGCACGGCCAGTCAAAAGCTCTCTTCTCGTATTGTTTTCGCTCGGTGCGCTCGAGAAAGGCGGCGATGTCACTCCTGTCGGTCGATGGATGGCCTCCTTCCCACTGGACCCACCCCGTTCACGGGCAATACTGGAATCTACAAAAACTCTAACCTCAACATCACCTCTCCTCTCAGTCATCTCCCTTCTATCAACCACTGGCAAGGTATTCTACGATTCAAAGGATCGCGAAGCCGCGGCTGAAGCGAAGCTCAAGTTTCGACACAAGAGCGGGGACCATTTGACTCTCCTCAATGTCCTCAAGGCCTACGAAGAGGTGATGTTAGGATCAAAAGCGGGTCTGGAAGATGACACGTCCAAAGGCAAGCGAGTGCAAATGGATGCCGACGGCAAGTCGTCCAGCAAAAGAAACGTGGCAAAGGAGTGGTGCAAGGCCAACTTCCTGAACGAACGGGCATTGAAAGAGGCATTGGATATCCGAAAGCAGCTGCGAGAGACGTGCGAAAGGGAAGGCGTAGACTGGAAAGGGTGCGAAAAGCCGAAGAAAGCGGGGGACGACAGCGAAGACGAGGGGGTACTAAAATCTTTGTTGGCGGGACTTTGGCAAAATACCGCGATGATCACGCCCGACGGCTCTTACAAGCAGGTGGTCGGAGGACAGGTAAGAGGTACTTGGTTGGTCGTGATAACATAGTCTAAGACACTAGCAATCAGCCCGTCAAAATCCACCCTTCTTCATCGCTTTTTGGTCGTAAGGCGCTTGCGATCATGTACGAAGAGCTAGTAAGTACACGCTGCTCACCTTATTGAGAAGTCAACTCATTAAGGTGTCCGACTTGTACGCTCTGCACCAAAAGATCGTCACATCAAATACATATGCCATGGGAGTCTCTTCGATCCCACGTGAATGGCTGCTGGATCTCCCTCTCTTCAAGCAGCAAAACCAGGGAAAGGGTGCGGCAGGAATTCCATCGGCCGAGCCACCATCTTTACGATAGGGCACATCCTTTGTTCGCAGTATAGCCCGAGCTTGGGATATTCAAGCTTAGCTGTGCGAAGGAAGGCAGAGAAACTTGTACAGTAGTTAAATGTAAAGCCGTACAGCGCCGTATAGACAAGATACAAATCACGAGGGACCTAAATAAAGTCCTCTGCTCGTGCACGTTTTCTTCCCTTGTTCTCCGCGTCGCCCATAGTGACATCTTGCTGCGAAGGTTGCTGGACCCAACCGCTCCGTGGAATCTCATAAACGTACTTTGAGCTCTCAGCACGCATCTCGTCCTGGCATGTTCTGTCAGCGTTTCATCCCAAAAATTTCACAACGATGCTCACCGGTGATTTAGAATTATTAGTCCAAATGAGCTTCGAACCCTCTTTCACCTCAGCGAGAGGCTCAACAGGTTTAGGAGTTGGAACCGGAACAACGGTCGCTGAAGGCTGAGAGGGTGCAGGCGGCGAACCGGAGGGAGAAGATGACGTAGGGGCCGGGGGTTGAGATGGTGGCACTCCAGCAGTAGGTTGGGGAGCTCCTGTCGGAGGGAACGGGGGAACAACTCCAGAGGGAGGTAGAGGGGGTGCTCCAGGAAGTCTTGGAATGTTCGGAGGAGGCATAGACATTGGGGGGCCACCTAGCCGAAGGGGTGGGCCTCCTGGTGGGAAGGGCGGCATGGGCATACCTTGAGGAGGGAAAGGAGGGGCTTGGCCAGGCAAAAGGCTGGATTTTGGTTGTTGGAAATACGTTAGTAAAAGAATATCGAAAGCTCAAAATGATTACCTACCCAGGAGGTGGGAAAGGTGGTGCCATGCCTGGAGGGGCGCCCGGCGGTAATGAGAACGGAGGCTGACCAGGGACTCCGGGTGGAGGGAAAGGCGGAACAGCACCAGGTGCAGGGGGAGCGCCAGCAGTACCCGGAGGGAAAGGTTGGGCGTAAGCTTGGGGCGCTGCAACGACACTAGCTGCGGTCGGACCGGCGGAGACCGTCGCACCACTTGTCCCTGCCGTAGACGATGTGTCGTTCCCAGACATAAGGGCGATGTGCGCAAGAAGTTGTGTCCGTAGTTCAGCTTCGCTCAGTGGTCGAAGGTCCGTCCTAGCGCGCTTGGTTGGAGGTTGAGAAATGGAACCCGCCGCAAGACCAAGTTCTTGTTCCTTCCTGCGCTTCCAATTCTCGACATCGCTGTATAAGGCAGAAGGAGACGTGAGTATGCGTCATAAATGCTCGGTGTATATGTATGCCTAACTCTTTTGGAATTCTGTCGCGCGGACCGCCCGTCAGTCAGCAATTAGAAGAACACCTAGCGCAAAAGATGAGAACATACCCTTCCATACCGAAAATCTCAACCTCTCCTCCTTCTCGACCAGGTAGCGCATTTTCAATTCTGCAGATTCAATTTAGAAAATTTGACAGTTTGAAGTTCTAATCACTTACTTGTCAGGATCCAGTTTGTGCACCTGCTGAACGTGGACAGCAAGACCTCCAGCGGTATTGAGCTTGCGAGGGCAGTGCTTGCACTTGAAATGCTTGGCCTTCTGATGCTGCATGAGCACTATATAGGGGATTCGTTAAACCTTACAACCACTTGAAGATGCCATTACAACTAACCTTTCTCGTCCTCGAACTCTCGTTCGCAGTACCAGCACCATGGTTTGAGCACCTATAAATCACGAAAACAGTTAACGATGTGATACGAAACCACTGGAGAAACTTACGAATTTATTCTTCTTCTTAGCCATCGTTGATCCCGGGTGGTGTGGTCTGCAACGAAACTCTAGTCGAAAAGAACCGTGAGAAGAAGACCCCCAATACGCAATCGAGGCCTCCGCGCCTCTGCAAGGCATCACGGTTGCCTTGCCTTGATGAGAATGACATCCCCAAACGATCCAAGAACTTGAGCTACATCGATTAGCTCGCTTACATCTTTTTTAATATCGTTTGCAGCTGACTATCCCGCGACTTGGTCATCATCACCCGTCTACCAAGCGGGGACTTTCACAGTCTGATATGCTAGAGCTTTCATATTCCAGTAGACCCCTCGTGTCTGTTCGGTATGGACTCGTGTCTGCGAAGCTAGCCACAGTAGCGCATCTTCCAGCCGCTATTTGCAGAACGCGCGACACATAGGACTTGGTGAGGAAGCGTACAGATACTATTGCCCCACGCTGAAAGGGGTTACAGCCAGCTATGCGGGAAATCTCGATGCTTACCCGCCCGACTAAAGACACTCGGAAAAGTCGTGAAATAGAGGCTTGTTGCTCGAGCATAATTATAAGCAGCCACCCAGCGAGATAAAAGCAAAAGGAATGATGAGAGTGGGATTCGAACCCACGCCATTTCTGACCAGAAGGCAACTGAGCAAAGCTCAAACAACCTTAATCTGGCGCCTTAGACCGCTCGGCCATCTCACCGTACTGATGAAGGGTCAAAGATTGCAATACTGATCGTAAACCTTGTCCACAAGGTGGACGGATTGCCAACCGCACGCCATTTAGGAGGTGCCAGCATTGCATGGGCGCCGGGGACTACTCAGTCACGCGTTATGCGAATCAGACACGAATCTTACATTGTAAATGGAGGATAAACCACGACGCGTAGGAATAGGATATACCAATCGAATAAACAGAACGTCCATAAGAGATGTAACACAGAAGCGAAACCATACTCTACGGTATCAAGACAGCTTCCCTCGTCCAATTTCATACAGCATGCGCAGTCTCAGATACGGCATGTTCGATTGCTCAAAGACGAAGTCCTCTGCCTCCTCCCCGCGACTCAAGCCTTCCATGAACATGCAAGTAAACACCCCACAATCGTATCCGTTCTCCTGCTGAGGGGTCTCCTATCGATGGAAAGCGTTTGAATATTAGTAAAGGGTCCGCTAGGAGGACAGCGTGAAAAGCTGACCTCGCTCCAGTAGTTTTGCCAGCCGTCGAAGTTGAAGGACTTGGACTTTTTAGCTTTGTGTTCCTTCTCCAAGTAATCTCTTAGGATCTGTCGCAAGAGGGAAGCATTAGACACATCCTTCCGTCGAGGGTCTGACGACTCTACCTGATACACTTTCGGACGTTGTGAGCCCATGCTGTCATAGTACTCGATTCGCTTCTTTTTCATATTAATAGCAGCGCAAGTCCAGTGTGCATTACCCAAGTTCACCGGAATGAGGATTATGTCTTTTGAGAAGATGTCGATCTACCAGTGGGGTTGTTCAGAACGTGTACGGGACTGGCCTAGCAAAACACCCTCAAGAATACTCACCGATTTCGTCCATTTGCCCAATCTTGCCTTCTCGTAACCTTCATTCTCCAACTTTTGGAAGAAGAATGTATTGAAATAATGCACATCTGACAGAGGTTCAGGGTAACCGAATCGACCAGGATCTGAATCCTCGTCATCAGGTGCGGCCCTTTCTTTGCCTTTCCCGTTGACTCCTCCGTTGATATCTGAAAGACCATATTCGATTAAAGCACGGCATCTCGGTATAAAATATTCTCGTACCGGCTGCTCCGGCTTTTGCCGCCTTCTTATGCTTTTCGGCCCGTTCCATGATCATCGCTCCCCAAAGGTTAATGATTTCGTCGTTTAACCATGACGCAGGCCCTAGTCTCCCGATATCTTTTGCGGTCACCATTTCCCTTCCAACTTTGGCAGAGAAACCACGATCATGCATGTAAGACTTCACGAGTGCGGCATGTCGGGCAGGCAGTTGCTCTGGTAGCTTCTTCCGCTTCGCAGCTCGAATCCGTTTTGCGATTTCCTCGTCCTTCTTGCGGCTCTCTAGTTCCAGGCGCCGGAATGAGGCAGCATCTGGTGGAGGAGCTCGAGGGTAGTTCAAAGCAGCCCTTGCCCGAGCCAGGGCCTTCTCCAACTCCACACTCCGCTTCGGTAATGGCCGGTCGGCGCCTGCAGGTCGTGGACCAAATAGAGAGCTGGAGGCATCTCCCATTCGCACCGGTCGTGCGGTACTGACTGAACTCTCAGAGCGCGGTGGCGACCATCCTTCAGAAGTCATGGAGCCAAAGCTCGGGCGGCGCGACCTCTGGCTGGACGTGAGGCTAGTTGAATCGCTGTGCGTACCAAGACTGGACGGCGCTCGTGATAGCGAACTTGGAGTGCTTGGATACGCATCCAGAGGGGTTGACCGTGCTCCGAACTCGGCAGCCTTTCTGGCCGCTGCGTACCGAGGAAGCAATTTAGCATCGCGCTTCGGAGCGAGGATCGAGAAAACGGGACTTACTTGACTGGCTGAGAAGATCCGAACTTTCAAGAAGTTGCCTATATGATTCACGGCTGACCCAATCCTGGTAATCTCCTCCAAAGCCATCCGTCTTCGCTTGCAAGAACTTGTCGTAGTCCACAATCGAATTTTGCGTTAAGCGAGCACGCACTCTTTGCCAATGCTACATTGCAAGCCACATAAATAAGCGGAAAGAACAACGCAGGAAAACAAGGGTGTGCATACGTACCTGTTGCTCGTGGATATGGCCGGAACGAGCATACTGCTTGACGCCTAAACCACGGTTCGAACTCAGCGAATGGCTATTCGAGTATGGCTTGGCTACCGTCCCCGATCGTCTTAATGGAGAGCCGAATTGCGAAGCACCGATCCTAGACGATGCAGAACTAAAAAGAGGCCTGCGTTGAGACAATGGAGTGGCCGAGGATCGGTTGCTGCGTAGGGTGGATGGTGGAAGTGAAGATGAAAGTTGGTCAAAGCCCCTGCTTTGAGGAGTAGTGACTTGAGGACTTTGAAGCACTCGGACTCCATTTACAGACCCGTACAGGGCTCTCGGAGAAGGACTTGGGGCATACGGATCTCTCCGCAATGCAAGGGGTGTTTTCGCCTCCGATCTGGTCGGCGAAGGCGAAAATGGCACTTTAAAGGGAGTTTGCAAGAGTGACGATGACGCCGGAGAGGGTGGTGCCAGCGCTGTGTGGAAAGACGTGGCTGGGGAAGAGATGGTAATACCCGACGGTTGGTGAGTGGTAGGGGGACTTGTGGTAATAATTGCAGGTGGCAGTGGTGGAGCGGATGGAATTGGTGGACGGGAGATCTTTGAGGGACTACTTCCAGCATTTGAAGCGTCTTCACTGGCAGGAGATTCATTTCCTTGCTGCACGGGGCGTGGTGTTGAACTCCCTGTTGAGAATGTTGTTTCCTCTTCTGCACCTGCAATAGCTATTCGTTAAGCTGAAATGTCTTTGCGAAACAAGAAAATTCCCTCTCACTCGCTGCAGGCAAGCCGCTAAGGGCCTCCGAGGCTGCTTTCCATATGAAAGAGTAAAGTGTGTTGGCGAGTTGACCCGCTACGCCTTGTGAACTGGCATCTTTGTCGGGCGAAATCCTTTTCTGGGGCCTTGGACTCGCGAGTGGTAGGACTGCTTCGTTTGCGGTTCGTTTTGTCATGGGAGAAAAGAGGAGGGAGGTCGAGAGATGGGTGGGTACGCGCTTGAGATGGGGGAGAGGCAAATCTCTAGTCCCAGTCCAAAGTCAAATCCCAGGGTCCGAGTTCGATTGTATCGTGAGTCCCCGATCCTCCTTGGAGCCGGCGTTATCTCTCTCACTCCCTGAACTAGGCCGGTTATGAGTCGCTTCAGAAAGCCAGAAAAGCAACTATCAGAATGGGAGGAATGGTCACTGCCTGAGCAGTCAGCATCTGGCTCACGGCACGTCAACGGCTGGAGCGAGCTTGAAGGTCCATTGAACACCGACTATGGGCTGGCTTCCGACGGCCAGGAGATGTCACCACCCATGCGGGGTCTTTTTGCGGTTCCTAGAGAATATCCGCCACAATCCAGCAGTCTTCAGTCGCAATGGGATGCAGACTCGGCTGCGGCATTCTGGGCTTTCCCCGAGGCCCAGGTGCAATCGCCCACCGCCGCGGAACATTTCGAATCCCCTCATCGAGCGCTGGAACAAAGACCCAGCGATCAAAGTCAAAGTCGAGCGTCGTATTATGGAGGTTGGGGCGAGGATGATGATGACCGCCGGTCTGTGGCATCGTATCGCACCGCACGGGTGACTGCGCAGGTCATCTCTACGTTCCAATGTCCCTCTTTCCGTCCGCTAACACCACCCCATTTCTTAGTATGGTGTGGACGACCTTTCTGGTCAATTGACAGAGCTTCAGTGCGTAGGTGCCTTACCAATTCTATCATCTGGTGTTGGTCGAATGACGTATGTGCAACCCCTGTAGGCTTCAACAAGAAGGCATCGAGCGATTCCAAGAAGGAGAGCTTCCTGAGGAAGATGAAGAGTGGCACAAGCTTTGTCCAGAATCAGCAAGAGAGGCATTGGATAAAAAAGAAGTTCAGCGCCAATCCGTGATCTTTGAGGTCATTAAATCAGAGAGAGATTATGTGCTTGATATGCAGATGGTTGAGCAGGTACGGGCCGTTACCCTCCACTCCTCCTCGTCTCGGCCCTTTGATTAGTTGTTTGCGCCTAGGTTTTCGTCCATCCCCTACTCTCCGCAGATCCGCCCATCGTAGATGAGCTGGAGAGCTTCATAAAAGACGTATTCTCGAATATTTCCGACGTGGAGAAGATCCACGAAGGCTTGCTCGCCTCCCTTTTTGAGCGTCAGCGGGGGGAACATCCTGTTGTCACATCTATATCAGATCTAGTCTTGGACGCTTCGTTTGGTTTTCCCGAGCCATACGATATATACATCAAGGTAGTTCAGACATCTACATGAAGTGTGTTCTTACTGATTTGAGTTATTTCAGAATTACCCAATCGCAGAGGGCCGGCACAGGAAAGAGCTTAAGATCAACCAAGAATACTCCAAGTTCATTCAGAAGTGTTCTCAGGACACCCGAATTAAGAAGCGGGATCTAATTTCCCTACTGACGCGACCCGTCACCCGGCTTCCTCGTCTGTCGCTCATTTTGGAGCATTGTCTGAAGCTCACACCTCCGGGTCATCCTGATCTGGAGACCATTCCTCTCATCCTCGGTGTTTTAGAGGGGTTGGTCAAAGCTACTCAGCCAGGCATTGCGGCTGCCGAAAGTACGTCGAGTACAGTGTTCTCGTCGGATGCAGGTTCACAAACCATTTACCCTAGGCAAGGTTAAAGTGCGAAACCTTATCGAAAGCCTCGTCTTCGAGAGGGGGGAATTAATCGTACGTCAAGCATGCTCCTGATTGCCATCCAGCTCATCTTCCAACAACGGGATAGGACCTCGACCCATCCGACGAGAACCGCTCGATGATCTATCAAGGGTCTTTAGCTCGTCAAAACGTTAAAGGATGGGAGCTTGATAGACATGGATGGGTGGACATCACCGTCAGCGTCCTGGACCACTACGGTTCGTACTGCCGGTAGATGCCTGTCAATCCCGTGCACTTCGCTAAACCCAGACCTTCCAGTGATTATGACACGTCCCGAAGTTCGTGCTGGTGTGACAC